TTTTGTCAAAAGGTACTCAAATGTAAATCCCAAAGAAGTCTTGGAAAGTTTATATTCATAGAATGTACATGTGCATGTATATGCCGTCATATCAGTCCTTACACTTGTACCACATCTCAGTAAAATGCTTTTATGCAGGATTTTTAATCTTTTATTGTAAAGATGTTACAAAAAATGAGAAAGATTTGGCTTCTCTTTAAACATAAAAAAAATCATCATTATGTAGAGAGCATTTAACGTTTCGGTTTACCTCATTATTGTCCCTGAAATTTTCCTTTATTTGATCAATGGAACAACAAATATCATACTTGAGACTCAAAATTTTAATAATATTTTTGCTTATCTTTTGGTCAAATTGAAATAAAATGTATATGAGGAAAACGAACAGTATTCAAGCTCAAAAGTCCATAAAACAATACAAAATAGGAGCAGGGCAAACACGGACCTTCAAACATCACAAGTGAATTCAGGTGCCACGGAGGAGTGATCGAACATCAACAAATTTGAAAAGAAATCCTCATTCATTGTTTATATAAAGCTGTTTATAGTTTATTTGTTTAAATGTGCTGAAATTACCCCTTTTTTAAAAAAAATTTTAAATGAAATTTTTGCATTACTTGTTGCAAAATTAATAAATTAGGACACTGTTATGAACGATTGAATCTTACATCTAGACACCGAATTGTGTATAGATTTTTCCTCTCGCCCAGTCATGACAAGGAACACAAAGCCGATGTGACCAGAGGCCTGTTCAGCAAAGTTAACGTTCGCGAGCGCTCGCCAAAATTCTTTTCTAAATATTAATTTTGGCAAGGGCTCGCGAACGTTCGCTCTGTTGAACAGGCCTCTGTTGACAGGGGATGCTAACTAATCTATGGCGTCTGATCTGATATATTAAGAAGTCCTTGTTTGCTCTGCTGCCAGTTTGTATTGTCTTAGTGGACCTGTGAGCTTGATAGCTATGGCTGCTCTTTTTGATTGAGTGAATGAAAAACTATGGTTAAAGGGAATTTACTTTTTTGTTTAGAGAAGAAAATGAAATTGTACTTTAAAATCTAACAAACCCTGGGATTTCTTCATTAAGGAGGATTCTTGTCTGGTTTCTGAGTAGATGAAATACTCAAAGTATATTTGCTTATATGTCTTATATATATCAAGATGTCAAAGATTTAAAAGATCATATTTTTCTTTCCTCATCACAATTTTACAACTTTACTTACATATGGTAAACAGAGTTTGAAATCTAGCAGAGACTATATTTTTGGCAGAATGACGGCGTATGAAAATATCGTTTTTTTCTGCTTCTCCAAATTATTGTACAAAACGAATTTATGTTAGTTATAATTTATACACAATCACAGACTTGAAGAAATTTTCAAATGTAAGTTAAATAAAATTTAGAGGACTTAAGATTTAAATTATATCAAATAAAGATGATTTTCCATCAAACTATAATTATGTTTGCTTTTGAAAGCTTCCAATGTAAGTACAGATTTGAGCTAAAATTCCATTAAAAAGTTTTTTCTCTCTTGATAAACGATCAAAACTTTTTGTTTTTATGTCATTTTGTATCTTTATACGACTGTTTTACGATATGTAAAAATAAAAAAAGCATATAAGAATAACTAGATTATCCTTAAATTTAAGGAAAATAGAGAAAATTAGGAGTAATCAATATCATTATATCATTTTAGTTAAATTATTTATGACAGTTTGGTAATATCATCTTATTGACCCTGTATTATTATATCTTTTTATGCAAAAAGAAAATAAACATTTAATTTTTTGAAATAGAAGTAGGCATCGAGTGATTGGCAACAGTATTTTTTTTATTCTTCATGTTCAGGGAAAAGTTTATGACCTTGACCTGACCTTGCCTCTAATATAAAACGGTCATTTTTAATCTAACTGATACCATCTCTTAGTGATATTGTCTTCTTGATTCTGTGAAAATAAAATAAATAAATAAAAAGAAATGGTTTTGCAGTAATTTTTTACATTCTCGATTGTAATAGTCATAATTAAATAAATATAAAAACCGTTAAATGTCACTGAAAAAAAAAGTTTCCGAGGCGACTTGCACAATTGTGATGAAAATTTACAGAAATTATTATTAGACATTCTTTTTATTCAGTCAATATTCAAAAATTTCTGAAAGCCTTCCTTTGCCATGGAAACAGGAAAAAGGTTAATCTTTTTAATTATCATTTTTCTCCGTAACTATATCGAACAAACAAAGTCTTTTCAAAGCATTTAGTTGAAATGTACTAAGATATCTTGTATAACTGTTTTATGAGAACAATTTAAATAATTTTTGTAAAATTAAAGAATGACTTGATAGGTAAAAATTGTTGAAACACGAAAGCTTTGCGTCTTCAAATATGTTTTTGTTAATTTTTAATATACTTATGGATTTTATCTTGTATTATCACTTTCTAACTGTTACCTACCTTGCACCATACCCTATAATATCACATTACCAAGTCTCCTACTGTAGCAGTAACTTTCAAATCTCATGGCAATGTCTTTAGCATTCCATTTACCTCAATAGGATGAAATGTAATACAATGACATGCGATGCTACATGTAAAATACCTTTCTGTAAGATATATAGTGGGAAATAAAAATTTGTTTATTGAGACTTTAAATTAGTGGGCTAACTAATTTTTTTTAAAGTTAAATTCATTTGTTTTTTTTTTTTGTTTTTTTTTTTGTGCAATGCTTCCTTTGCCATATAATTGTTAGTGCTTGAACGCGGTCGCTTACGAATGAACATTTTAAGACTTTTTATAGTGATATTGTACGTACTTCTGTGTGTGTTTTGTTTTAAAATGTTATTTTGATATTTGTCCAAAACTACATTTTATAATTTTAAAAATGTTCATTCAGTCATATTTTTGCAGACATTTGGTTTAAACAATATTTATTCAGAAAACTGACTAGATTGGGGAACAGGCAAACTCCCTATAAATACTCTTTCTATACAAGGTTATGGGTAATAAATACAATGAACTGAATTAATATTTATAATGCAACACGGGTAACTTTTGCAGACTTTTCATGAATGATGGAATAATTTTGCTGGTTCCTAATCTTGTTGTGTTCGCTGATTATTTCGACCGTTCGAGCACTGCATTCTGTGCGAACTTCATGACTTCTTAACCTCTGCAATGGCTAGCGGTCAATCAAATCGATTAGAGTATCAAAACACGAGATCTACTATTTCTTACAAACATCGTACAGACTTAATGAAATTTCTGGAATTTTGCCAGCGATCAGCATCTAAGCCACCCTTGTCGGGAGATTGCACGTGCCAAAATCTACTTTGTCTTAAAGAGATTAATGAATAATCTTCATCCATTTGTTTCGGGATATTTCATGTTGTCCCACTGGAAACAACTCTCAATAAAACAATTTTACGAATATTTATTAGAATATTTTCTACCCAATGATATGGATTTACAAAAACAGACTTATGTTTGTATGTATATTTATGTTTATGTTTATAAATTTTAAATATAAGTTCTGATTGATTTTGCTAATCCCAAAACATATTTTTCTTCAATTCTTATCACGGATAATATCGGACGAAGTCAAATTGTTTTTCTGTTCATGTATTCTTCTAAATAATGTTTGATTTTCACATTATTTTATCGCTGCCAACTATACCTTTCGAAAGAAAACTTTAAAAATAATCCCAAAGACAAGTGTACTCAGATAACATAAAAACCCATCTAAATAATCCATAAAGTGCAAACCTTCGGTGTCTGGGAGTGTAAAAGTCTAAATAGCTTAGATAAAGTTGAAAACATTCGAGCTTTCTTACGTCTCAGACACAACAAACCTTTAAATAAAAATAAGAGAAGTGAGTAGTTTTTTTCTCTTTCTGGCAATTTCAAGAGAATTATAGTGATGGTTTACTAACCTGCATGCGTCAGACACATTATGTTTGTGTGTGCTGTTTTTAACAATGAAATATATTTTTAATTGTCGACGACTTCAGTTGTTTTCTGTCTACTGAACTTTTGATACATGACTGTCAATACAAAATAAAAAATGCAGTATCATTATATTATTTTTGGGAAAAAAGTATAATCGTATCGCACAAAAGTAGTTGGAACATTTTTGATCTGTAAATATCAAAACCTCGAAGATATGAAACAGATTTAAGAAGGTATGACTAACTGGTAAGAATTGTTTACAAATACCAATAACTTTTACGCCGTAAATAACAAACAGAATGAAAGGCGTGTATCCGTTTGCGTGATATTTTTTTCCGTTTCATAGAAAGAGCATTACCAAATTTAAATTTGCACTTAAAACCTTACATACGGTTTGAAGACTGTATTATCAAAGGTGGTTTTCTGATTTCGCACATTTTAAAGCTTTTAAAATTGTTAAATATAATATATAAACATCTTCATATCTTCCAGAGTCTTAGGTTAGAATTCAGAAATCCATTACAAGGGATATCTATTAGATTCAATGAATTTAGGTTTAAAGAAACATGTACATGTACTGCTTTCAATTAATGTTGCCTTTATTCATATGGATATTTTGAATTTATTTGTCTTTTATATATGTATCTTGAACGATCTATCATTTTTTATTGCTTCTATCAGTCCAAAAAATTAAAATCCGATATTTATGAGGAATCAAGCAACTCAAACAGATCTTAACGAACATTTATATATTTCATCGTCCCTTTATTCTTTATAAATGTCTTGTAGGAACTTTAATCAACAACGATTCGAAAGATGATGCAATACCATAGCTTGTAAATTTCCATATCCTGCTGCTACTTTTGACTTTAAATCAGCTGTACATGATGCAATATACAGTAATTTCCAAATAAAATAAAATTACTTTTAACTTTAATTCAGCAGTACATAAAGCAGAATGCAGCAATTTTCTAATTGTGCTACTTTTGGCGTTAAATGAGCAGTAGAGAATACAGTATACAGTGATTTTCAAATTTTGCTACTTTTGACTTTAATTCAGAAGCACATAATGCAAAATACATCAATTTCCTGATTGTGCTACTTTTGATTCTAAATGAGCAGTGCACAATGCAATATACAGCAGTACACAATGCAATATACAGCAATTTCCAAATTTCACCTGCACCGTCCGCCCCCTTCATCACCTGCCAAGGTCAAATCCCACATTACTGTTATTTTCCTGATCCAGACAGACCACTATTTCCTATTGACTAATTCCAGTGAGGCACCGAAATAGGCGGGACGCTTTCATAAGGTTCTGATCTATGACCTTTAATTTGCACGTGTGCTTGGGATATAGAGGCGGTAATTACAACGTTTATTCATTTGATACTTTAGCAACAGTGTTGAAAACAGTGTAAGGAAATCATTACGTTATTTGTTGAATTTTCATTATACTTACAGTGAAAGAGAACATCTGATTTTAAAAGGACAGAATCCAAAGTGAAATCAGTGATATTAAGAGAACTATAACATTTGACTGATACCTCTGAGGAAACATAGACATATTTCTGATAAAACATTTGATTTCATTATGAAGTGCTCTCCACTTTGTCAGTGTTTGGTAGTTGTGATACTATTCTGCTTGACCCTGCAGCGGTTGGTTTCTGGGAATACGACTGACCAGGACCCAGAAACTTCTACAATGTCAACACCCCTGACCAGAGAACACATTTCTAGAATGCATCAAAGGTACCTAATGTGCGTGTCGTTTTATTTTATTTTGTTTACTTCTTTTTTAATCAAAGAAAGATATGATAAAATAGTACTCATTGTCAATAACAATTGAATTATATAGGTTTTTTTTTTTAATTTTTGGAAAAATATTTTGAAGTTTCATAAGTTTGGAAAATTTATATACCAATTTTATGATGCTCTATCCTAATCCATTTTTCTACAATAGTTTTAGAACTTAAAAAAAAAAAAATAAGTGCAATGTCATTGTTATTGAGTGATGAGTAATAGGCAACGATATCTAATTTATCTAAAATTAGACACATTTTTTTTCCAAAAAAAAAAATAAAAAAAATAAATAAATAAAAATAAAAATATTGTCAATATTGAATATTATTTACTTTGATTTCATTTCCTGATTGAGGAAGAAGTTCAACATTAAAAATATGGCAAAATTCTTTAAATTACAAATTTTAAAAAGAAATTCGTTTCCTTTCATACATTCTCCAAAAGATATCGTCCATTATCATATCTTTGATATGCATGCTTTCGAAATACGTATCTCTTAAAGTTGAATACGTTTATTTACTTCTTAATCCATATATCTATCTAATTGATATATAATATTCTTAAGATAAACAGTATATTTTATTATTTGTTTATTTTGTTTCTTTTCTATCTGTCATATTGGATTTCGTTTGTATATCTATACATGTATACCTTAACTTAACATGAAACGTGTGCTGTGGTCTTAAATAAAAGGTTCTTTAAACTATCCTTTTTAACCTTTCATTTATAAGTCTTCCTTTTAACAATGACGGTGGCTATCCTAACGATTATGAATATTAATCTGAATTTTCTACAGCTGAAAACATGCAAGATTTCTTTAGGGGAATATATAATAAAAAATTAGTTGCAATGAATAAGTATTTTAAGAAAAGCCAAATCGTGATGCATATAAAAATCCCTTAACTGCTTTCATTAACAGTTAGAAATCCACACCAGTTTATTTGCGTTAAGAAAATATATTCCATTGCATCACATTCTTTTCTTGCAAAATGTGAATCTTAACATATTACAAATGCATTTACAATAGAGGATTAAAAAAATGAATAAAATGTCTCCATTAAAAAATTGAATTTTTCCTTAACTTTAACTTCCCACTTTAAATGATTTATTTAAAAAATTTGGTTTGCAGTGTGATGTTGCAACAGCGAAAATAATAATACAGAAGAAAAGGAATAAAAAAAGAATTCAATGATATCTAAAGTTTAGTCATGTTTCTCTGTTTGCACTTACAACCCAATGTGAGTAGAATAATACCCACCACAAACATCGAGATAGTTTTGACATACTCCTGTCGTTTTGTGAATATTACAATGACATATGGTTTCCCTGTCTGGATGTTGACCTAGATAATAATGTATGAATGTAAAAAAAGTACGATGTGTACTACATTTAGATAAACTTTGCAAATCTGGGAGTACGAATCCAAATTGTACAAAATTAAAATAATATATAAATATTTTGAGTGATCTTTCTCCCTTCGTCATTTCCATAAATACAGCTCAACGCACTTTCTAAGCTCACATAGTTTTTCGCACAGATTAAGGTCACATTGTTATTATGCGAAATTTTGTAACGAGGCAACAAAATACATTTTAAAAGTGATATCTTCCTTATTTTTTTAAGTTTATTTAGCTAACTTAAAACATTATTCACACATAATTATTGGTAAGGTAATAATATATTCTTGGCGGATGGATTGTGATAGTTCTCAAATGTTTTTTTCGTGGTTTCTCGTCAAATGTAGCCGTCTATGTTCCCGTTCTTTTGAAAACAGTTTTTTCAAAAACAGTGCAAACCATGTAACTTTTGTATTTCTGTACAATAACATGACTCTATAAAGCGCAAGATGATAATAGTATTTCTTATTTGTTCGACTGCTTTTCATGTTAAAGAGCTGGCATTTTTAAGGGTTACTTCTGAGTCTAGCATCTGTATGAAAGATAGACCCGACGGCAAAATTCTTGAGTTTCAGACCCACCATATAAAAGAATTATGTTTTCAATGGTAACAATTTACTATTTTAAAAGTTGAACAATACTTTTTTTTATCCTGTCTTTTGTCACGATTTCTTTATGCAGCATTGTCATTTTTCGGCGCTACATTTCGAAAAAACCACGACGCGTATGGAAATTTTGCAAAGTACTTCGAACGATACTCATCTTTAGATGACAATTTGAAAATTTCAACTAAATAATATCAAAGAAAGCTGGATGATTTTAATTTGTAAATACCTATGCTGAATTCATGCAGATGTAACATGATATCATTTATTAATGAAGTCCCATTTAAAACATCGACTTTAAAACTTTAAGATTATGAATTTAAATAAAATGTACCTTTAACATGAGATATCACGTACATATTTGGGCTAGGTCTCGCATTAAAAGTCGAAAATGTTCATTTTATTGCAAGAAGAATGTGACCTTAATATGTGCGAAAAACAATGTGAGCTTAGAAAGAGCGGTGAGGTGTATATCCCTTTCTTTTACATGTACTTCATTCTTTCGATTTCACTCTCTGCATACATGTAACACACTTTTAGTTGTTGATGTTGTAATTACTATAATATGACTCATTATACTATTTAAACCTAAATTAAAAAAAAGAATTTCCTCTAAACTTAAATAAGTTAATATAAGTAAACAAAAAAGCAATAATCCCTAGAAAAAAAATCGAAGACACGGCCTCGTTTTCATGTTTCAGATCACGTGCTTACAGGAGACAAGAGATCAGAGCAAAGGTTCTGGAGTTCCTTGGTTGGACATCCATTCCTCAGATCCGCCCCCGAGATAGAGCGATCATCAACAGCACTCTAGCTAATATTTCTTCAATAAGGATCACCGAACGGCAATGCTTTTCTGCATCTTGTAAGTATAACATGGAGTTTTTATTTGGGCTTTTAAAAATCTTTTTTCTTTAATGATATAGGTAAAGATAACGAACAGTGATTGATTTCTAACAGTCCATTAACAATACAATTACATGCAGGGGACTTGAAAGTAGTTGAAACATGGACTCCTAAAAATTCCAGAGGTAGGATCAGGTGCCTATGTGGAGAAGGCATCCCCTTTGATAGGTCAAACCCGCCGTGACCCCGAAGTATTGATCAGGTAGTCAATTCAGTATAAAAACAAAGGCTTTACAATTGGTATGAAACAAGTCAACCAAATTACGACCCAGTGATACGTACCTAGGAGGAGTAAGCAATGAAGTGACGAACTTCTTTCTCACACTCTCATGGAGAACTAAATATAAATATTTAATAGGTAGTATATGGTACTATATTGTAATTTTGCTAACATCCTTAATCTCCATTAGTTTAATTAAAGATAGACGTTTAATGCCTTTTTTTCAAATGTTATCATATTAATGCAAATACTGTACTTATATTTTATCAGGTGAATTACCCAATAGAATAGACGAGGACCTGTGGACTGATTCGAGCACCGGAAGCCTCCGACTTATGTTCGATGTGATTCCCTCTGAGAGTTGGACAAACGCAGAAATTGTTAATGCATCTTTAATGTTACATTTAAAAGAAAGACCCTGTAAGTATTTCCTGCCTTTAGTTAGAAAAGACATTTGAATACAAAAGTATACGATTGTAGCAAATCCTCATCTTGGACAGTACATAAGTTGCTTAGTTCTGTTTTATCAGTATTTTTCACAAGTTATCCATTCTTTCCAGCTGGCTGGAATTAGCATTAGTTTGTTGTATGAATAGATTTGGTTTGTTCGTATTTGTTTTTATGCTACCTGTATTTTTTTTCAGTGTGTAACTGTGAAGATGACAATAGAACAGAAAGAATATCAATAAAGGTTCTACAGTACCTCAAACCTTTAAGACGCCGAAATAGATCTAGAGGAGGGAGGGCAAACCGACGAAGTAGTAAGTGTAAAACTTTATTAATTAATTTTATATTGTTAAATGATGAGATATAACATATTTCAAAACAACAAAACAACGGCAAAAAGCAAGAATTCTGACAAGAAGTGAAGTTCATTGAACATAAAAATTTACATTTATTTCAGCTGTCCGTCAAAGAATACTCTGGACATCAATAGTAAACTGGACACCGAACACGTGGGTCGCCATACCCGTCCAGCAGGCAGCAGACGATTGGATTGTAGCAAATAAACGCAACCACGGCTTCGAAGTTATGGTGAATGATCAGTTTAACCTACCAATAAATGCAAGCAGCGTGTTCTCAAGTATAGAGTGCAG